AAAAAAAAAAAAAAAAAAGCCTATGGAAATGGCTCAGGGGGCTAAATGGACCTGGAAAATGAAGCAAAATGGAAAATTAGCAAAATGAAACTGGGGCAAAAATGGGACTGAAGCTGGAGTGTGGGGGCTGCTGCTAGCTCTGAATAAAGAATGTCTACTCTCCCAACTGCATCTTGCATCTTCCACTGCCAGGATCCTGAATGTGTTTCCCAGGTTGGAACCTCCACCCAACAACTTCTCAGTGTTAGCTCTAAGCAATGGGAGTCCTTGGGAGAACAGGTTCTCTCTATGTCTTATCCACAGGTAAACATCTGGCCGACTTACAGTTTGGGAGAAGAAAAGGAGTTGGCTACGAAATGTAAAATATCTATGTCACTTTCTAGTTATCAAAATTTTTGGTTACCATTCATTAAATCACTTATTCATCTATTATTTGACAAATGTTTATTGAGCAATTAAAATGTTTTAGGCAAAAGCTAGTCGCTGGGGTGATACAAAAATAAATAATATGTTCCTATTTTCAAGAGGCTGTAGTAGAGGAGACAGATTTGTAATTAAATGCTTAGGATGCAATCCTATTGGCTCATGTAATTATACTTCTGGAATACAGATTCACACAAGTTATAAAGACAAGGGCACAGCTGTTTACTATAAAAAATAGCAGAGAATGTCTAAATGTCTATCAAAAAAAGTAAAAAACTGTTGCAACAAAGAAGTTCATTGCATACTGATAAAAGGGTCATATTAACTTTATTTTAGTCCACTTTCAATAGTGGATAAATCATGTAGGCAGAAAGTCAATAAGGAAAACCACTAACTTGAACAACATTAAAGACTAAATGAACTGAGCATTATGGCATATGTCTGTAATCCCAGCAACTCAGGAATCTGAGGTAGGAGGATTGCAGATTCAAGGCCAGCCTCAGCAACTTAGTGAGACCCTGTCTCAAAATAAAATAAGGGCTGGAAATGTAACTCAGTGGTTGAGAGTTCCTGGGTTTAACCTCCAGTACTGCAGAAAAAAAAAAAAGAAGTGATTGTCACATTAGTAAAATATCAGCGGTATTTATTTTCTGCCCTCATTGTACCTGTCCTGGGGTGCTTATAATGAGAAGACAGCCTTCTAGCCTTATCTTACTGGACTTTCCTACTTCATTTGACAGTTACCCATTCCTTCCTTGAAAATTTCCATAAACCTTGTTTACTAGTCTCTCCTAATTCTCCCAATACTGAGAAATTATTTTCTCTGCCTCTTGAACGCCTTCTCCTTGGCTCTGTCCCAAATACTTATCATTCTCAAAGTTCCATCCCTAACATATGCTCTTTTCTTTCTACATCTTCTCTTGGTTTATTTTTAATTTTTTTTATTTATATATGACAGCGGAATGCAGTACAATTCTTATTACACATACAGAGCACAATTTTTCATATCTCTGATTGTATACAAAGTATGTTTACACCAATTCGCATCTTCATACATGTACTTTGGATAATAATGTCCATCACATTCCACCATCATTTCTAACCCCATGTTCTATTACTTTAAATCACTACTAGTCAGTATCTACAAATCATTTGCCAACCTCTACTCAAATATTCTGCCACATATCTAACTGCCTTGAAAATGTACTTGGATATCCCACAATCATCCTTACTGAAGATTTCATCTCCTATCCTTTTAATCTACTTCCCTTTTCCTTTTCTCATCCCATGTAATCACCCTGTACCATTACCTAAGTCAGAAACCCATGGATCATTCCATCTTCCTCCTGCACTCCATGTAGCCAGCTACAAATTCCTTGACATTTTTCTGTCTTCTCTCCATCCCTGTTCCAACTACTCTTCAGGAGCATGTGAGTTGGCTTCTGGACTACTGAGCTTACATTTATCTTCTTCCAATCTTTCCTTTTCCCATTTGAGTCTGTGGTCCCACCACACTCTGCTTTCCTATACAGTTAAGTCTTTAATTACATCTGACTGCCTTGACTACCCCACAAGGCATCTTTGGATCCCACCACATAGCACAGTGCCTGGCTTAGTAGTAAGTGTTTCTTGAATTGAGAAACATAAAATAGTTTTATATTAATGTTTCATTTTATATTTTTAAAGGCTTTTAATATAATTAAAACATTTTATTTTTTAAAGAAGTTTCTCAGTTTGGGGGCAAGGTGATTTTCTAAAATCGCAGAGTGTTTTCAATAACACCATCCTTCCATATTCAAACAATTAGGAGTCATCTCAATATGATAAATTGTTTGTCAATTTAATATTTTTAGCTAAAAATATTAAATATTAATCATATCTGATTAAAATCATTACTGTTTGTCTGACTCTTATGGTTTTATTTCTATTGATTCTGTTGGTTTGGGATATTGTCATTATTGTTTCCAGCATAAAATTCCATTATTAAGTGGATGAGTGCTATGCCAGAAATTCTGGTCCCTGTTCTAGTTCTGAGATTCTATTTTGGTCACTAGAGGGCTCTAAAGATGTCTCCATGCTCCAAACCTGTTAAGACCAACACCGAAGCACCACGCAACCACATTTATGAAAAAAAGTTAGGTTCTGGATTTTAAGAAAAGGATTCTGTTACTGTGGAGAGGTGACACAGCTTGTTACTCAAAGTGTGATTCCCAGAGCTGCAGTTGAGACAGCCCCTGGGATCCTAATAGTGGAGTGAAAAGCACCATCACATAAAACACAGCCACACAGAAACACAGTCAAGAAATGTGCGTGCCATTGTTGGAGAAAGGATTTACTCAGCTGAGGGCCGTGTCTCACGGTTATGGGTGCAGTTTTAAGAGGGCAATAAATAAATCCACATAATGTTCAGAATTAGTTGATTGGAAACACATCTGCCCATTTTGGTGGACTTCATACCTTAGTGCAGCCACATCATGCTGTGGATGCCAACAGAGGTGCTCACCACTGTAGAGGTGCTCACCGCTGTCACTGAGTGGACAGTAGGCCTCACCAATCCATGATGAATGAAATGGCTATGCCCAAATGAAGTCCTCCAAGATACCTTCTGGAACCCTGGAATAATGTTCGGGAAATGGAGAATGGGTGGAGGGTTTCTTTTAACTTAAGATAAAGAGAAACCTCCTCTTCACTCTTCATTCTTACAGCATAGACACTAGAGGGGTCAAGGGGTGGTATTTAAAAGGGTTGGATAATTCTGTGCCAAAGACATCCTCAGAGGCTTTACAGAATACTACTTAAGCATGTAGAGGCAAACAACCAAGTTTAAATCCTGGCTCTGTCAATTTTTAGCTGACCTTGGGTGAGTTAACTTACATATTTAATTCTGTTTCTGTTCTTTCATCTATAATATGGAGATGGTAGTACCACCTATCTCATGAGGCTGTTATGAAGACTGAGTTTATACATTCAAGTGCTTAGAACAGCAGACAAATAGTAGACAAGAAATGGGAAAATTATATTTTTACTTTTGGTGCTGGGAATTGAACCCAGGGCCTGGATCATGTTAAGAATATGCTCTACCACTGAGATGCACCCCAACCAAACTTTTTTGGTTATCTTAATTTTAAAAACTAGCAAGAAATAGAATCTTGTGGGAGGGAACTAACATTCATTGAGAACCTTTTATGTCTAGACACTTGTACGCATTATCTCATTTAATCATGAGACTGACTAGGTAAGAGAGGCATTTTTCTTCCTGTTTTACAGATAAGGAAACTAGAGCTCAGAGAGATTAGGTACTTTCTCAAATCTATGTGGGTAAAATTCTAACTTACTCTTTTCGAATCAAAAGCCTACAATTTTCCCATACACCAGCACTTCTCAAATGGGGTTTTATAAACCTCTGGTAGGGACCCTAAAGAACTATTCTCTCTATCCAAGAACTTTTCTGGCAATTTCAAATTTTCAATATGTCATCTCAATGATAATCTTTAAACAGATATGCTCTGGATCTCCTGGAGGATTGGCTCAAGAGTGCACTTTGAGGACATTTGAAGATTGCCTTATGTTCACGATGGTGTAGTTACAAGTGCCATAAAATAGGCCAGTCCGAAAAGAACAGTGAACTTCACAATGCACTCATGCTAAGGGACAGCCAAATTACATCATCATGGTTCAAATAGAAAAAGGAAAAGGTAGAACAAGCACTTCTGGCTTGGTACCTGGTGGGGTACACATTGGACTCAAGCTCAAAATCTGCCCCCAAGCATTGGGCCATAGTCACATTTGGAATAGTGATTTCAATTTCAGCCATACCCTAACTGTTGTGTCGAACTACTGTCATTATATTGAAATCTCACCTTTTAGTTGTGTTTTGATTTAAATTATAAATTTTGCTTTTATAGCTGCAGAAGAGATTTATAATTGCACAAGAGACTTATACCTGGTTTTATGCTATACATCAAGTAAAATAATTCAAAAGTCAACATTGAGAATGAAGAGGAGGCTTCTCTTAAAGGGGGCCCATACATACTCATATTTGAGAAAATTTCTATTGCATCACACTGTTTTTCCAGACATAGAAAAGGACATTTAAAAAACATCCAGAGCTATATTATAGATACGATTGACTTCTGGAGCAAAAATAGAGACACTTAACCTAGCAATGACATAGGATTCAGGAAATGCAAGATGGTAGGGCATGACTGGAGAGAAACTGAAGGAAGGCAGATTATTAGCTGATCCTGTCAGATCTCTGAGGAAGCAGTGCTAGAGAAGTGAACTATGCAAAACAACTTTTAAGCACAAATGTATATTCATGGTAACCCTCCCTAGTGAATGTCTGTGACAAGTCAGAGATTTGATTTTCTTTTAGGATGCCAGCAGCAAGCCTCAAGCAAGTATCCGGGTGATTCAGGAGATATTCTAATAGCTTTGAGAAAGTAGGTTGTTCGTAGGAAGACAATTCGGGACTGAATGAAGCAAAATTGCCCAACTTACATCTGCTGGACAAAATTGGAGACTTTGTCTTCATGTACAAGAAAAACAGGCAGTTCTATAAAACCTAGATTGTAGATTTAAATCATCTGGCTCAGGGCCACTGAAATTGGATGATAAACATGTTTATGGAGTCAGTATTGAGTTCTCAGGGCCAACAACCACATCAGCAGATGTGGAGTGTACCCTCCCTTTGGCTAGAATACAAGGCTTTTAATTATGAATAAAGTCAATGGCTTCCTGTTTGATTGGTGCAGAACACTTTGGGAATGCCAATTACTGAAGCATCATAAGATAGCCTTTTAAGACATCATTAAGATCATGGAACAGCTTTCTGCCTAAAAGAATAAAATGTGTTCTCCAAAGTCCCACACCGACACAGGTCATTTCCTTATCCTGACTTCCAACTTGCAATAACTATCACAGCCATCAATCTCCTTTCCTGGGTTACTGAGTGTCCCTCATGTCCGGCTACCCCTCCTTACCTGGTCTTCCACCCTCTCCCTGGAACCTGAATCACTTAGTGCCACCAACAGGGGACCTGGCATGTGCACACGTGTACACACACACACACACACATACACACACACTTGAATGAAAGTTTGCTAAGGAGGGCGGTGGTGACACTTCTCAGACAATGTGATTTTCCTGTGTTCCAATCTGCCTTAGATAAGCACCAAGTCTGAAACTCACTGTCAACACCTGTTGTACCTTTAAACACATCTGCATCTTGATGTCTGCTCCCTGCTCTCCCACTACCTCCACCAGGACTCAGGCCCTTCTGAGGCTTGGTTCTGGGTAAGGCAGAGCCTCCCTCATTCCCCTCTGCCTGCTGTGGCCTGTCTCCCTTTCCTGTGGGAAGGCCACTGTGGGGACAGCTGGAAAGAGATCTGGAAGCTGGAATGGAGCACATCTACATTCCATAGCCTCAGTGGGGAAAAAAAAAGGAGTTGGTGGAGTTGCCAAAACTAGGAGTAAAACCTGTTCAGATAGACCTTTGAGAAACCGTGAAAGTTCTAATATTTCAATGGTCAATTCCTCTGAAAAAATGTTATGGAAACAAAATGACAAACTTTTGTTCATTTTGATAAAATACATTGATAGAAATCAAGAGAGTATCCAGGTTATTTTCTCTGTGTATTTATTTAAGCCTGGCATGTTGATGAATTATATTGAAGACCCTAAACAAAGGCCCACAGGGACCAGGCAGTTAATGTGACATGGAGGAGAGGGACAGAGGTATTCAGGGGGAAAAAGGACAGAACCTCTTACTGTTCTTCCAGAGTATGTGGAACTATTGTTCCCAGATCTGATATTTTCTTTCTTTTTCTTTTCTTTTTTTTCCTGTGCTAGGGTTGGAACCCAGAGCCCTGTTCATGCTAGGCAAATGCCCTACCACTGAGCTACAGCCCTTATCTGATTTTTAAGGAGAAACTCTAAATTTATTATGTGTGTGTGCATATACTTGTGCATGCATGTGAAATCTGTTTTAAAATGTTGTCTCAGCTTTATAAAAAGCAGACCAAACACAATTTATATTCCACCTCTGCTGTAGATTCAGAGAATCTGTTCAGGGTAAAGTTTAAGAAAAGACAACTGGAAAAGAGACATCGGCTAAGTATCAAGTTCCAATATACTTAGGGTTTCCTAAATAAGGTAGTGAATGCTACCCTAGTCCAAAGGCAGTTACAATTCCCATATTTATGCTAGCAACTCGCAACTTAAATTCTCTTTGATGTAATTTGCATGGTTCAATTTCCTTCCTCCTTCTTCCCCTTTTTAAGGCAGAGCCTCCCTCATTCCCCTCAAGGTCATGAGGGTGAGTCCTGTCTGCTGCATTTCTCCCTGATCCACTGGCTGGGAGTGAAGTTTCAGTTTTTAGTATCCACAGGGCTGACTTGGCTCAGGAAATGAACAGCTTACCTAACCCTGACGGAGTCAATTCAATCTGTCTTTTCCTCTAGGAACACTTGTACTCAGGCAGTTTTTCAGGTTGGGGCAAAGAGGAAGACCGAAGAACAGTTGTGTCTTCACTTCAATCTCTAACTAGAAATATTCCCTGAGACACTGTGGTAGGGAACCCCAGCTCTAAGCTGTACCCACAGGGAAGGAGTCATCCTCCAGGTGGCAGATTCCTTATATTCATGTTAAAATGAGGTTTCTTCCTGAAATTTCTTGGAGATCTAGATTTTAAACCTATGCCATTCTCTCATAGATGATCAGAAATCATTGAAAAATTCCTGCTTGAAGAGACAGAGACACCTGCCTCACCTCACTCCTTCCATTTCCACTTTGGGAGGCACCCACCTCTCACAAGAGACCCAAGTGGCTGGGGGCCGCCACTCACCTTCAGAGTTTCTAAGAGCGACACAGACAGCCAAGGTCATGAGGGTGAGTCCTGTCTGCTGCATTTCTCCCTGATCCACTGGCTGGGACAGCACCGTAGGAGAGGCTGTGAGATCAGGAAATAAAGCTAAAGGTGTCCTCAGGTGCAGAGAAAGAGCCGGTAAACCAGGTAGCCCCGCCCTGGGAGGTGCTCAGGGCATCTGTTGCCATGTTTCTTTTCTTACACGACTAGGTGCCTGCCTGAATTGTCAAGCTCCCAACTTAATGTGTGTTCACATTGCCTGGGGGTCAGAGGACATTAGTGGCCATCTGGCATTTGGCAAGATCCCTGTAAATTGTGAATATGCATCAGAATCATTTGGGAACCATTAAAAAAAAAATTAGCAATCTATGTGAGTGCTCTTCCCATGCGTACACCTATAAATCAGATTCTGAGGTAGGGTACCAGCCATTTGAATTTTATAAAAATCTCGATAGCTGATTCTGATGGACACTTCTGTTGAGAACCACTTGCCTACAAGGAATTGGTTTTTAGTAGCTTGAGACCAGGAGTTTCTGGGGACAAGGGTAACAAGTCATAAAAAAAGTTATCTCTGTGGAAAGATATGGGAAAATTCTGCCTCCCTCTGTCTTGGTTCACAGCCAGTTTGTTTCCAGTGAAGCTTCTAGCTGATTTCTGAGAAGGCTGAGGCAGGTACAGGACAGCACATGTAGAAAAGAGCCTCAAGGCAGCATAGGATCATGGTTCTAGACCAGCTTTCCTGCGTATCAGCTTCATCAAGCCTCATGTTCTAACACTGCCTCATCTACTACTTAGTTGTATAATCCCAGGAAATATAATACTTTTCTATAAGTAGCAGGTCAGTCTGGATGACCTTGGAAGTTATACCATGCTTCCTCTAGAACTGTGCTGTTCCACTAGTTGACCTATGGCTCTTGAGCCCCTGAAATGTGGCTAACTCAAATTCAGATGTATCATAGGTGTAAAGTACCTATCAGATTTAAAAGACTGAATATGTAAAAATAAGATAAATTATCTCATTAATAATTTGTATATTGACTACATGTAATATTTTTGGACATATTGGGTTAAATAAAATATATTTTTAAAATCAATTCACCGGTTTCTTCTTTACATTTTAAAATTACTGCAATGGTTCTGATATTTTTGTTCCTTCTGAAACTCATGTGGAAACTTAGTCCTCATTGCAACAGTGTTGAGAGGTTGGGAGGCGTTTAGGTCATGAGGGTAGAGTCTTCTGAATGGAAAAACACCCCAAGAAAGAGGATGGGTTGGATCTCTTCTGTCGTGTGAGGACACAGCATCGCTCCTCTCCAAAGGATGAAGCAATAAGGCACCATCTGGGAAAGAGAGGCTGAATCTGTCAACACCTTGACTTGGCACTACCCAGCTCTATAATGCTACCGAAGAAATTCTGTTCATTAAATTACCCAGTCTTAGGTGTTCTGTCATGGCAGCACAAAATGGACTAAGACAACTATATATGCAATCTAAACCCAGAATATTTTATTTTTTTATGACTTTTATTTATTTATTCAGTTCATAATAGTTATATATAACATTGAGATTTTGATATAGTTATAAATGAAGTATAGTTTGGTACAATTAAGGAGATTACCCTTAACCTCCCCCTTCTCCCTCTTGCTATTCCCTTTCTTCTACTTCACTAAATCTATTTAATCTTTTTTTAAATATTAGCATCTTGTGGATATACATAATGATGAGATTCATTGCAGTATATTCATATATGTACATTGGAAAGTTAGATCAGATTCATTCCACTCTTTTTCCCTTATTTTGTCCATCCTCTCTCTCCTTCAATCTCCTTCTTCTATTCTCCTGATTTTTATTTTATTTTGATGGAATCCTCTCATTTCTTTTCTTGAATGAAATTATGTCATTTGCTAGTAAATGGATGGAACTGGAGACTATCATGCTAAGTGAAGTAAGTCAGACTCAGAGAGTCAAAGGTCGAATGTTTTCTCTGATATGCAGAAGCTAGTCTAAAATTGGTAAGAGAGAGAGAGAGAAGAAATGGGAGGATTCCATCAAAATAAAATAAAAATCAGGAGAATAAACCCAGAATATTTTAAATCACACATGTAGATTACATATCTACATTGGGCACTGCTGCTTTAGAATGAAATTAAAGGTGATTATTGGATAATAGGAGTCACTATTAATCCAACAGGACAAAATTTACACAGATTTAATAGGGAACTGACAAGGAAACTGGAAACCTTATGAGCCTAGGATTAGACAGACCCTCTGCACTCCAGGGTATACCTCTCATTTGCTTCTTTATTTGATCGATTGACTTCTCTCTCGTTGTTGTGTGTTTCTTCTGCTATGAAATGCCACTGTGGCCCTGCTGGGAAGAAGGCATTGGGGACAGAATCGAGGAATATGTGTAGTATAGGGGCTGCTTTTGAGTCACCAGCATTTCTCTCTCTCTCTCTCTCTCTCTCTCTCTCTCTCTCACACACACACACACACACACACACACACACTACTTCCTGAGGGCTTTGGAGTGAGATGGTGAATAGGGGCTACTGGAGGGCAGTTGAGCATAGCAATGTAGATACATGAGATTACTATCACTAGAATCACAGCCTTGGGGCAGATATTGTCACCCTCTTGTTAAAAAGAAAAACTGACAGCCCAAAGCAGAAGTTTTTAAGCCATGAAATAACCCTATGAACCAAGATATGAATGAAAGGAATACTGAGCAGATTAGTTTTAATGAAGGTGAGGGGAAAATTGAACGTGGGATTTTTGTCTGGAGAGAATGTGGTACAAGCTATGATTATGGGGTACACATGTCTGTGTGTGAGAAGGGTACTCACTAGGCAGGCATGGACCAGCATTAAGTAGGAAAGAGCCCCCAAAGGGCTGGCATATATTAGGCAGCTTTGTGTTAGTACAACAAAATACCTGAGACAGTTAACTTGTAAAGAGTTTTGGAGGTTCAAGGGCATGGCATTGTTATTTCAGGTCTCAACTGTGAAACATTATGGTGGAGGGGTGTGTGTGTGTGTGTGTGTGTGTGTGTGTGTGTGTGTGTGTGTGTAGGGTGCGTATATCACCATTCAAGAAATGGAGGAGAGACTGGCATCCCACAGCTCCTTTTCAGGGCACACCTCCAATAACCTAGGTACTTACATTTAGGACCCACCTCCCAAATTTCTGCCACTTTACAACCAGCAGCACCCCAGAGACCAAGACTTTAATAACAGTGGATCTTTGGAGGATATTCAGACCACAACCAAACTATAGCTGGTTGATTCAGAACTTCCATTATTTAAATTTATTATTATTATTGATACCAAGGATTAAACCCAGAGGTGCTTTACCACTGAGTCACATCCCCAGCCCATTTTATTTTTTATTTTGAGACAGGGTCTCATTAAGTTGATTTTCGATCCTCCTGCCTCAGAATCCTAGGTTGCTGGGATTATTTAAATATCTTTAACTGGTCTTAGGGCTTCTATAAAAACAAATGAGAAGAAGACTGGGAAATATGTGACATTAGGGCCTAGAGCAGAGTTAGGGGACAGAGACACAGAAGGAAACACTTTGAGGACAACCTAAAACTATTTATATGGCTTCATAATTTACATTGTGAAGTGTCCCTAAGAACATCTGGATGTAACAATCTTTTGGAAATATTTTTTTCTTTACCAGGAAAAAAATCAAATAGTTTAAAGAGAAGTAAAATGATGTGCATGATCCTGGAGGACATTAGGTTTCGTGAAGTAAATCAGACATAGAAAGACAAATACCACAAATACCACCTGGAAGCTAAAAAGTTGACTTCATAGAAGTGGAGAGTAGAACAGTGGTTACCAGAGCCTGGGAAGGATAGGGGAAAGTGGGGCTAGAGAGAGGATGGCTAACAGGTATAGGGGTGCAGTTAGGTAGGATGTCATAGAGCACAGAAGAGTGACTATGATTGATGACAATTGATTCTATGTCTCAAAATAGCTAGTGGGAAAGGGTTTTGAACGTTCCCAACCCAAAGAAATGATAAATGTTTGAGGTGATGGATATGCCAATTATTTTGATTTGATACAGTGTAGATGAGTATTGAACCGTCACACTGTACTCCACAAATATGTACACTATTATGTCAATTTAATACCTATGGATATGTATGTACGGATTTATATCTATATATACTTATGTATCTCTATATGTGTATGTCTAGACATATGTATATACAGAGACTTCAGCCTTTCATAAAAATATCTGCTGCCATCCGTAATTTGGGTAAAATGATCTGTTTGAATTAGGAGGATGAAGAAGATTTCTAAACAGTAGCTTTCACAAAATAAAAGTAAGACAGTAAAACTTCCTTGACCATCTGTCTTGAAAACTAGTATATGCCTTGTTCTCTGCTTTATGAATGTTCCCATCATACTGTTTCATAGGTGCCTATGTTATTTTATTGTGAATTTTAGCTTTGAATATTTGTCTCTTTAATGTTTTGAAGTTGATTTCTACCTTTTATTCTATCGTTCTTTTTGCTTGTATTTGCCTACTTGGCCATATTTTTTATTTGTAACATTTCTGAATAAATTTGTTGTAATTATTTACATTTTTAAATGAGGAAAGACAACTCGTATATGTATGCACTGTTTGCAAGCTCATACCATTTAAATGTCCTAAGATGATGTCGATTTAATAAACCCCTTCCATAAATCCTTTGGTACTGAGAACAGAGAACTTTTAACTTTTGTGATATTTAAGTTCTAGTTTATAGTTAGTGAATTCGTTAAAGCAGGACAGAGTCAAACAAAGGTATCACATTAAAAAACTAGATTATAAATGTTTTAGTTGGCTACTTGCTGCTGTGACCAAAGAACACAACCAGCACAACTGTAAAGGAGGAAAGGTTTATTTGGGGGCTTATGGTTTCAGAGGTCTCAATCCATATACAGCGAACTCCATTCCTTGCAGCTTGAGGTGAGGCAGGAACAACATGGTAGAATAATGTGGCAGAGGGAAGCAGCTTACACAGGGATCAGAAAGCAGAGAGAGAGGTCTTCACTTGCCAGATACAAATATCTACCGCAAAGCCATGCCCCCAATTCCCACCTCCTCCAGCCACACCCTT